CCTTGTCCTTAAGATTCCACATATATGTGAAATTTCATGGTATTTGTCTTTCTCTGTCCGACTTATTTCACTTAGCACAATTTCAATCACTTTCATGTCTTTTTCTTCTGAAATCTGTCCAACTTCCCTCTTTAAATTATAGAGCCCAAATTGAATAAATTATTCCAGAGTCTGACCAGTGTTGTGTTTCAACATTTTGTTCTCTGATCATGTGTCCTTCAGTTTCGATATGTTTGCACAGCAGGGTGTGGCCTGTGGCCGGGCAGCCTGCCGCAGGCTCCATGTGGCCAGGCCAGGCTGCTGCACAGCTGGAAGAGCATAGCACAGAGCAATGCTTTCTAGAGTGTCTGCAAGTAGGGCCCCGGCCTTCTACCTGCAGCTTCCTTTAAGCCAGGGCAGCTGTTCTCTTAGCTGTCTAATATGTAAGAGCTGGCATAGACTTTTATTGGAGACAACAAGAGGTTGTAGTTCTAAGATATAAACTGATGAACATAAATAGATCCAGAGACACAGAAGCATCAAACAGACCGTCAAACTTCAGAGGGAAGGCAGGAGAGGGTAAGGGGGCGTTAAATAAGAAATCAACCAAAGGACTTGTATGCATGCAGATAAGCATAACCAATGGATACAGAAAATAGGGTGGTGAAAGCCTGTGCTGGGAGGTAGGAGCAGGTTGGGAGAGGTCAGTAGGGGGAAAAGGAGACATATATGATACTTTCAACAATAGAGAATTTGAATGAATGAATGAATGAATGAATGAATGAATAAATAAATAAATATTTGGTAATCACTCATGATAGAGAAAACCTATAAGCTTTGGAACAATACAGCAAGGATAAGAGAGAGATATCAACCAAAGGACTTGTGTGCATGCATATGAGCTTAACCTGTGGTCACGGACAACAGGGGGATGGGGGCATGTGTGGGGAGGGGTTTGAGATGGGAATGGGGGGATAAGGACAAATATGTAATACCTTAATCAATAAAGAAATTAAAACAAATAAAAAAAAGACAGCAAGAAATCATCAATCTGTCACTCTCCTTACTATGGATGGGTCATTTAATCTCCCAGCCCAGGGACTGTCTAGAAAATGGGTCTAAGTCTAAATCTTACTTTGTAGGGTTATTGTGATGAATCCTAGGAATTTATATAAAATGTCTAGCACCGTGTGACATGCAGAATCTACTTGGTAGTGAGACACTCTTTATATTTGTGTTATTGGGAAAAAAAAATTCAGCGTCCTTCTGTGTCAGTATCATCGTTTTGAAGTTATGACCATTAGAACTGTCATTTACTATGCCAGAGCTTTTTTTATTTTTGGTAGATTTCCATTTTATTCAGGCCTGGAGTCACGTTAATGAATGTGTTGGATTAGATGGTCTAAAGCAGATTTCAACTAAAACATCACATGAAATATTGAAAGGAGAGGGACACTTAATCTTATGCCTCAGTTTCACAGTGGAGCCAGGCTGTTTCTATTTTTGATTATGTTCCGTAAGAAGCGGCTAATTTTAGACTGCAGTTGCAAACCTTTCAAGTCCCGTGAAACATTTTCCTTTGATGTGAAACATTTTCAGCTCCGTGCTCTCAGCACCTAGCCCCGCGCCTGACACGGAGCAGACGTCGTGCAGCCCGGGCCGGACGCGGAGTGTGGCCTGGTCTGGAAGCCACAAGAAGCAGCAGACCAGACCGGGCCGCGGATGAGTGCGGGGAGGAGCTATGGGCCTAGGACGGCAAAGTCTTATTTGGTGGGACAAATGCATCGCACAGAAAGCAAGTACCCAAATACACAGCTCGGGAGGAGTAAAGCAACAACTTAAGACCATGATGCTGTCTGGTGGAGCATTTCATTGGCCAAAGTGACTTCAGAGGAGAGAATCAGTGCTCCGCCATGGCCAGTGGGGCAGTGGGAGTTGAAGAAAGCAGGTCAAGTACACTGTCTGGACCCATGAGCTTCACGGTCCAGCACCAGGACTGAGAGTAGGGGCAGATGGCTGAGGAAATTCATTCACATCAAGTGACCTTTTAGAAATATCAATCTGATCATGCCATCCCTACTGAAACTTAGTCAGTGGCTTCCCTTCATACTGGATAAACCCGGTTTCTTTCAATGTCTGCAAGGCCTTGGTGATGGGCCCTTGCCCACCTCCCCAGCTTCACTTCAAACCAGGCTTCCTCTGCCATCAGCTCCTACTACATTGACCTCTCAGTGCCTTTTGTGCCCAAGCCTTTGCACCTGCCGCAGCTCCCCCTCAGCTCCCTCGGGCCTGCAGTTCCTGTCTTCCTCTGGCTCTCAGCTCCAAGGTCACAACTTCAAAGGGGACTTTGCAGTTCACCCAGTCAAATCCCTTGCTGTATTTCCTTCTGAATGCTTAGATTCTCAAAGATCTTGGTCATTTACTAGCTTACGTTTTCACCCTTGGTCTCGTAGACGAAAAAGAGCATTCCTTAAGTGCAGTGGATGTATTTTCCTGTTCCCCACTGGGCCCTGAGCCTGGTACAGGGTTTGGTATGGGTCCCATGCCCAAGGGGTCTGCAGAATAAATGTGTGACTGAGTGAATGGGAACAAAAACGAATAAATGTGTGACTGAGTGAACAGGCTGGTGCATGTGCTAACCTGAAATTGTCACTGTCAGTACCATATAGTGTTTTATGATCTTAACTTTAGATCTTTCAGATCAGGGAAATAATTTATAACATACTAAAAAATTTTAACAGAAAAAATATGTGCACAAATATAAATGGCTATTATTTTCCTTGTGACAACTTAAAATAGAAAAGAAATGGTTTCTTTTCATTTCACTTATAGGTGGTATCTGAAAAACACACGCACACATGAATAAACAAAACAAAGCAGAAACAAACTCATAGATACAGAGAACAACTTGATGGTTACCAAAGGGGGAGGGGCATGGGGGATGGGTGAGAATCCTATATAATAAAAACGTAGTATGCAAATTGTCCCCTCCACCAGGAGTTGTCCAGGAATTCAACCAGGGGGCGGGGCTAGCCAGGGGAAGGGAGGGAGACCCTGGTCCGTGGCAGTGGCAGGTGGCTGTGGGAAGGAAGAGAGTATTCAGCAGGCAGCCATAGCTGCTAGGGACCCTACCAGTACACAAAATTTGTGCACTGGGCCTCAAATAAATAAATAAATAAATAAATAAATAAATAAATAAATAAAGTACTGTACATGTCAGAACAGACACACAAGAACAAAATACAAAATGAAAAAGAAACAGAATTTTACACACTTCCATCTCAATGGGGGAGTCGGTTGGTACATTTTCTGTACATGCCTAAAGGTTATACAGCAAATATCCACACCCATACAACATCAGAGGGCCCCTTTTTCTAACCTGGAAAGGGTGTTTGTAATTCCCTTCAATTTGTATACACACAATACATGGCTGTACATAAACAGACATTCAACAGTTCCAGCAGAATTCCTGCTGCCAAAGAGAAGAAAAACATCAGAGTAAGCTGTAAAAAAATGTGCTTGGTTTTTAAAATGTAGATATGGCAATTCACAGCATTTATACAAATTGCTATATACTGAGGGCTGCAACTCTGGGAATGAATAGTAAGAAAAAGTTGCAGCTAAGAGCAAATCTGAGGACACTTGTTTTGAAAGCAAAGGCTTAGTCAGTATCACAGCACTCTGGCAATCCACATAGCATTCACCAGAGGGCTTTGTATTGGGCTTGAGACATTATGTATTGATTTTCTTGGATATAAAATGCTCTGACTATTTAAAATGCTCAAAAAGAAAATTTCATCTTGGATGAAGTCTTACTGCATTTTTAAAAAAAGTCCTCTTTACATTTTGGGCATATTAATTTGAATAATATCAATGTGATTAAATAATGGCTGGATGGATCTAATATTTTATACCTTATTTTTTTTGCTATGGTTTTATACACATTCTGTGACTTCTATAAATATACAGAAACGTTAGATAGTATCAGCAGAAAACATAAATAGCTTCAAAAGGAGTTAGATAAATGAGGAAGTGCTAGATCTTTGGTGAGAGAGTATAGGAGAGCTAGAAATGTTTAGGTAAAGTAATAAATAGCATGTTTTCCCACAATGTCATGGCTTAGATGTGGAATATAAAGTTGTATTAGGCCACTGGCACATTAAAATTTTTATCCGAGTATATTTGTGCTCTCTTTTCTGATCTGCATCAGTATATTCAGCATATATTTTCCCCTATTTAAAAAACAACCTAATTTATATAACTACTTTGGAGTTGTTAGGACGATGGCTATTTGTGGATAACAGAGAAAGTATTCTTCATGGGTGAATAAAATGAATTCCATAGCCCCAAGGCACACTGAACCAAATAACAGCCAGATTTAGGCTTGAGAAGACATAACACCAAGCACCTATAAACACAGCCCCATCTCACTGAGGGTGCCTCCCTGATAAATCTATAAAGGGAAATGCATCTCTAATAACCTGAGACCAAACAGTCAACTCTTGAGTATTTATAACAGAAAGGACTAGTGTTTAAGATATTTTAAAGCACAAACTATTTTTAAGTGGCATTTTTCAGTTTCAAATGTAATAACAAACATTTTTTGGCCAGCTAACATCCTAATGATGCTGTAACGAGGCTATATTTGACAGTTGGCATCTCCTCAGCAGAGGTCAACTGGACGGGGTACGAAGGGAGAGGCAATTTAAGAGCAGGATGCAGAGAAATAGAAAATTGGCTCAGGATTAAGGATGCGCTGTGACTAATCCACAAAACAAATAATCCACAGGTGGACAATATTTCATAGAAGGCACAGAGGATGCTGCTCTGGCTTTTTAGGTATCAACAAATATTTCCATAACATACAGCTATATCGCTTTGTTTAGGATTTACTTTTTTTTTTTCCCCAACAAAGAAGATTGTGCAGAATGCTAAAGTGATCTTTTATGCTTTTAAATGACCATCACAGTCTGCAATAAGATGGCCACAATCCGACACAATACCACACAATAGCATGTTACCTTGGATACAAGGCTGGCTCTGTATGCTGCTAGTTGCTTCAGGTACTCTTTCTTTGCAGCCTCGGTTTTCTTTTTATAGACCTGTAACAACAACAAAGAGTCTTAAATTAGAAAGTGCACCTGCTTTTGTTCCCAGAGACATACAATGCAGAATGATAATTGCATGCACACAACATGCACACTCACACACATAAGCACACACAATCGTGATATATATATATATATATATATATATATATATATATATCCTCAAATATTGTGTTCTGTTCCTGAAACAAATTTTTAAGAAGCATGACAATCAGCTAGATAAGAAGAAGATTAACAACAATAAAATTTTCCATTTTACATAAAGCAAATGAAAGGATCTATCTGGTTTACTTTGAGAGTAGAGGTAGTTGGCTCAGCAAGATACGATTGAAGAAGGTTCCCAGGGAAACCACACACGAGTAAAGAAGCCATTCACATTTATATGTGAGCAGAAAATCCTACAGTGAATTCAAATCCTGATATATACGCTCCATGCTAAATATAAAAACAAGGACAGAGTTGAGCGATGACCAATGATGTCCAATAAGTAAATCAGAGGTATTGGCGTTGGCAGGCTCATCACTAATTTAAACATGTTGAGCCTTGAGGTTCTATTTCAAAGCCTCAGGGATTGGCGATGGAGGTCACAGACACATTTGGGGGTGCAATGGGACCCTGAGTGGCCGAGGACTGCACTCATGTCCTGCCCTGCAGTCTGCCCTGGTCACGTCCTTTCCAATGAAAGCACCGGATGACACGGGCCTGTGGACTCCTTGTTGGGGAAAGGTAAAGGTGTTTCAGAAATGAGTTTCAGCTGACAGAAGTTTTCATTCCTCAGAGGGAATCATCTTGAAAATAAAAGTAAAATCCCCTTAAATTGAGCAGAAGAACTAAAAAACGACTTGCAGCTATGCTAAAGGTCACCTCGCTAAGTTAAACGGGAAGGAATCATTAGAGTTGAAAATGAAAGATTAGCAAAGTGAACACACATGGTTGTCTGCTACTATTATGTCAATTCCTTCAAGCTTTTAGAATCATTTTTTTTTAAAGCAATCTTTTGAAATCAGCGTTAAAGAACAAACTCTTTTTCATTATTTACTGTGTAAACAGAAGTGTATTTTTATCAACAACTATTTTAAATTTCCCACATCTTGAATTTTACAGCAGGGAAGGAGGTTTGGCTAATATTTTGTACTGCTGAACTCACAAACAGACACAGAAGAAGGACTGAAAAGTGGCTTTGGAATTAGACCAAAGAGCTGCCAAAGTTGTCAGCAGAGGTCAATTTGTGGTTTTAGGGTATGTGGAGCCCAGTCCCCAACTGTGAAATCCAAGGTGAGAGAAATATTATTTATTCATGAATATTTTAATTAAAGCAGAACATTTTACTTAAGGTAAACAATCGACTGGCCTTGTGCACAGAACTATAAAGGTCCCTATGAAATAAATGTGCTCTTCTTTTAGGAAGGTCTGCAGCCTAGACTTTTATTCTTGGCATTGTGATGTAATGAAAGGCAATTTAATGAGATAATCAAGAATTCATATAATATTACAATATAATCATTGTGCCATCCTAACTAAATATGAAACTCAAAGAGATTTAACATTTGTGTGTGTGTGTGTGTGTGTGTTTAATAAATAAACTAATAAATTCTTTGGCTTAAGAACAAGAGTATCCCAAATTTACTGAGCTAATTATTGGAAGTCAAACTCAGATTCTTTTTTTTTTTTTTTGAAATTTGCACGTGGAAACAAACACCATTAGGCACAGCAAATGGCTTTGAATAATATGACCTACCCATGTATATGACATGCCTCGTTTCAGTCACAATCAGAAACACAAAGCTCTTTGCTTTTTATTGATTTGTTTTCACCTTGAAAGACAGATTGCTGTTTGTAGTCTTTTCTTCAACCATCTTCTTCGAGACATAACTTATAATTAATGAGTTTAAGCTGACAATGTTTACATTTACATTTAATAAAAATATTTCTAGAGGCTTTCTCTCCCACGCACATAGAAATCTTATTTAGGACTTTAAAGCAAATATTTAGTAAATACTGCATATTGCTGACGGTAATACGCATTTGTATGCTTGAAGCACTTAGGTTTTTATTAATATGCTACTCCATTTGACCCCCAGGTAGCTAACTGGGGTTCGCTTAACTTCCAAAGGCAAATAGAACACACCCACAGCATTGCCAAAAGCATCCTTTTCTCAGTAGTAGCAGATAAGATAGGTGGCCAGGTGGCCTGATTGTAGCATCCATCCTCGTTCTTGCATTGGGTTTCTACTGAAACAGCAACTGTGTGACTAAGGTGCTATCCCTTGGTGGGCTCCCAACCTCTTACAAAGTGTTAACTTTCTTGAAAGGTGTTGATTAACAACCATAGTGGCTAGCAACACATTTCAGGCTGAATATGTGCCCCTGCTTTCACTTGGGGATCGATGTTGTTACGAGATGCCTGACTAGCATTCAGAGTGCCCTGTTTTCTACAAATGGCTCCCTATTGGCTATTGATGATTGGCTATGTTGGATCATCACACAAGTGCTTAAATACCACTTTACAAAAGAGAAAACTCATCACTTTGTGTTACATGGATTGATGGAGCCACTCTTTCCTGAATAACTGCAGGTATTCACAGGGAGGATTCAAATGGCAGTCATTTCAGGAGGTATATTTCCATCATTGAGTTTAAAGGGGAGTAGCCCAGATCAGAATTAAAATCTGAGTTAAGTTTCCTCAACAGTAGTTTGGACCTCCACCTTTGAGATCTATCTAATAGTTCCAACATTATACTGTATGTCTTTCTAACATTTTATGAGAATGCTTTTTTTTTCTTTTTATAATTCTGTATTTATTGGAAATGTCTGAAAAAAGATCTCAAATGTAGAAGACAATGACAAAAATATGTGAATATTCAACATATAGGTGAAGTGGAGAAATTCTTACTTTATAACAGATATTTAAAAATCATCAGTAAAAATTTCCTCAAAAATGTTTCAAAGCACCTAGCCATCTTGGCTCAGTATTCAGGGTGCTGGTCCATGGACTGAAGGGTTATGGGTTTGATCCTTGTCAAGGGCATGTACCTTGGTTCCAGGCTCAATCCTGGTGCCGGTAAGGGCATGTGCAGGAGGCCACCAATTGATGTATGCCTCTCACATCGATGTTTTCTCTCTCTGTCTCACCCCACCCTTCCACTCTCTCTAAAAATCAATGGAAAAATATCCACGAGTGAGCATTAACAACAACAAAAATGTTTCAAAGCCTCTGTTCATGGAGGGAGGAAGTCTACTTAAAGAAACCAACAACGGTGCTGACTGCCTTTGGCAATGAACTACCCACGGCTGTGGTGATCAAACCTTCAAACCTAGGAGGATGGGTCTGATTTATATCAAAGTTAAGTTTGGGAAAGAAATGATCTCTCTCTCAGGGAAAGACAAATATTTTAAAGATATGTGATTCATACAGTAAATATTAGTACTCAGTTGAGCTATAAAATGGCTTCCAAATGGTCTACAGCTGTTTGAAATAAAGTGCAAAGTTAGCCAGATGGGGATTTAAATATCATAATACATCATTTATCATTTTCCCCAGCTCATCCAAACACTTTTGAATTCATCCTGTCCTAACTTAGTTATATGCTGTGGTTTGTTATTCTAAGAAAGCTACCATATCCTATCTAAGGATTGCATCTTGGTGGTTAAACTAAAACATATATAATGGCTAACCTAAAACATACGTAAGATAGACATCAAATAGCAATTCTACAGAATCCATATCCTGTTCATGTAATCTAGTGATTCACTGAATCATTTTTGAAATGCTCTAAATACCAGCAGTACACATGTTTTTACAGGCTAATCATCCCTAATTGAAATCAGCAGTTCAATATCAGTGACTATAATAAACTCAACAAGAAAAAAAATCTAATACATTTTTTCATTATACTTTTACTTTCTGGTCTTTTCCCACACAATCCATCCAACTCATACAAAAAAGCAAACTCTTATAAATACCACTTAATTCCTTCTTCCTTCTTTTCAGCTCAGGCTCTTAGTTAATCTCTAGTCATACTTTATTCAATGAAACTTTTATAGTAATAATAAGAAAAATATATAATTCTTCCAATTTTGTATTCTATTCAAACACTATAAAAATCAAAAGGCATTTTTTGGAGGTTGACTTCAAATGCAGTTTTCTTACTCCACTACAAGTTCGTATTTATAGAAAATGCTTAGAAATACAGCTATGTATTAGAAATAATAATTTAGCCACCAGTCCCTGCCATATCCTTTAGAAATTAATGTTTGTAGCTTCTTTCAATGCTGTTATTATTTAGGACAGTTAGAGAAAGTACATTTATATTTTATATAGTACTCAGTCCTCAAACACAGTTAAATTTTCATCTTGTGTAAATTGCTCAGCATTTTCTTTAGCATTCCAGAACTCAAAGGCCTTTAAAAAGTAGTATTCAGAGGACTGAAAATATTATACAATGTGAGAAAAATCTTGCTATCAATTCCTTTTTGGAACATCTGAATCCATCTAAAAAGCCCACATAATAGTGCTATGGCTTGTTTCTGGAATGGTAGATATCAGAAACAAGTTCCTTTTCTGTTAAGAAAAAAAAGGCTACAAAATATATCTGTTCATTTATTAAATGAGGATGACTGGGCAAAGTATGATACCATTCATTTAACAATATATTCAATGTCTAATATGTATCCAGTGTGGTTTGGGACACTGAAACTATGGATTGAAAATCAGCATTAAAAATATGCCTGTTAAAAAAATAAATTAAAAAATGCCTTTATTGTATGCATTTTTTATTAAGCACTATATATATATATATATATATATATATATATATATATATAGTCTTTAATTCTTTTAACAAGAATATTTAAATGGTATTTATTATACCCCATTTCACAAATAAGAAAATGGACTAGAGTGGGTAGTCATTTTACAGCAAGTATGGCACACCTATAGTGAAAACAAATTGATCTGGTTCAAATTTCTACTTTCGTTTACTCAGGGGCTCCTC